AGGATAAAAGAGCAAATAAGTGATGATGCGAATGATAATAAGAAGAAAATATCAGATTTAAGATAGGCAAAAGTGAAAATGAGATTTGAAGAAGTGACTATGGAGGCAATGGTGTAAGCAGAGGTCCGAGTGGCTCAGTTGGTAGGTTTTGTGACTCGTCTGAGTAGAGACGTGGGATCAATTCCCGCTGCCACCAGGGTTTGGGGTGGGGTGGGGGGGTTAAGGGAAAGGGGATGGGTTAGCACAAAAAAAAAAAAAAGTGTAGTTCAATATTGTTGATGACTAATTTAAGGGTAAATTACAAAGACCCTACTTTATTTTGCGATAAAGGACCCTCTATATTATGACCATGAGATAAAGATTCTTATTGACCGTTAAGTCAGATGACGGAATATATTAAATTACCAAAATAATCTACTAAATTTTTTTCTATTTTTTTTCCTTTGCCCTTTTTTTCTTAAAAATCTATTTAACCTATTATTTCTCTGGGTGAAGATGATGGAGGCGAACTGGGTTGGGGGTAGCGACTGATTCGGCGGAAATACAGAGGGGGGCAGCAACTGGTTGTGACAGAGGGCGCGGCAACCGTGGGAAGGAGCAGAAATAGAAAAAGAAAACAAATAATAAAAGATGGAGAGAGGGGGAGAGAGGCCGGTGATGGATTCGCCGCCGTTGAGTTCGAATCCGCCGCTAAAATCAGTTGCAGCGGTGGAAACGGTGACGGGTTTGAAGGCGGAGGCGGCGGTGAAGTGGAGGAGGAGGGGTTGCTCTTCCGACGGCTATAGGGGAGGAGAGAAAGGGAGATCGGCAAGTTCTCTACCTCTCAGAATAAGCGATGTCTGCGCCCAGGCGCTCAATCTCCATGACACCGATATCTAGCTGGAGTGCTAGGCAGCCCAAACTGCATCCAGGGAAGCAACGAGGCAACCAGGAATTAGTGAAAGGATACATGTGAACCAACATGTTCACTACTGATTGGCAAACAAAGTGAGGGAAAGTTCTTCTCAGCATCTACATATTATTTCTTCTTGTGTGATTCTCGATAATAATCCATTCCATTTCATTTTCTTTCCATAATGTATATATATGCGATCCAATGCAGTATTCCTGAGCATAGATTGCGGTTCCTTTGTTCTTTCGTTGATGCAAACAATATCGCATGGGTAGGAGATGATCCCTACATTAAAAGCGGCGAAAAGGAAACTGTTCCAAATGTAGATAATTCAGTGGATCGTCCATTCAAAACTCGGAGAGTATTCCGTAGCAGAAAGAAGAATTGCTACTCCATAGATGTGGGGAAGGGAGAGAGCGTCCTTCTCCGAGCACATTTTTACTATGGGACTTACACGGATGAAACTTTTGATCTTTAGTTTGACGACAATTACTGGGCTATAGTCAAAAATAGCAGTGCAGACCCATTTTACTACGAACCAAGTTTGATGCCATAAGCATTTGCTGAGGATCTGATGCTAGGAAGAATACAGAGGAGCGGTGAACAAAGTGAGGGAAAAATCTAAAGAACCCATCTTTGATAACGATTGGGACAAGGAGACAATCAGAAGCTGGATCTCGAATATGTTCTTCCTCACGAAGCAATTCCCACAGGTGGTTCTCAAGGAGATGATGAAGAAAGCTTCCAGGATATCTCACGGTCATACTAACGAAAGGGGTCTTTGTCTCACGGTCATACTACAGGGGGTCTTTGTGGTAAAACAAAGTACAGAGAGTCTTTATCACATACCCCATAGTACAGGAGGACTTTGTAATTTACCCTTAATTTAAATATACCAATGAACAATTGGAAGGATCACTTATATAGGAATAGAACTTGGACGGGCCTGCCTGAGACTGAACGATTCAGCCCATTATTTTACATGGGCTCAGCTAGGCTTAGATTTTTGGTTCTCGGGCATAGCGTGGGTAAAACTTGAGGCTTGTTATGTTTTTTTATACTGGGACCTAGTCCTAAGGTAGTCTCATTCTGGTCTGATTATAGACATATATAAATACATATTAGAGAAAACCATGCACGTAGAGACCCAGGCCCAATCAATATAGCTCTACGTTCGCATGCTCATGCATGGTTTGTATGATGGCCCATTCTCATTCTGAATAATTTGTAGAAAGCTCTTATCGTTCTTTTTATTCTATTCAAATTTGACCGATGGCATACATATATAAACACACATTTGCACGTATAAAGTTTCAATTTGGGCGGATTGAACAATCCAAGCCCAGCCCAGCCCAGGCCTTAACCAATCCAAATATTTCAAATTTCAGTGTAGGTTGGGCTTGCATTAGACAAACTAGTCTTAAACTCATGGGCCTTACGCCCTAAGTTAACCTTAAACTTAGCCCAGCCTGTCCGACTTACGCCCCAACTCCCATCCAATGGCCAGGTCAGACAGGCCATGGGATTTCTTTATTCATGGGTTATAAACATGAAAAAAGAACGTCAAAAATGAAATAGATATATCACTAATCTAAATAATTAATACTCAATGAACTTGATTTTTTTAAGCCCGTCAATAATCCATTTTTATAATTTAAAATTTGAAATAGCATCCATCTAAATAGTGACAAGAATCAAGTGATTTGGCAAGGAGTGAAGAGAATCTTGACTTGCTAGAGACTCGACTCCTAGGGAGTTGAGGAGAAAGTACTTTCGCAATTACACTCAGTCATTAATCATAGAGTCAATAGTATTTGGTTTTTGGTGAAAGCACTTCAAAATACATTATCTTACAAGTATATCTTTACTTTATAATGCTAATACACAAGTCATAAAAGTTAAATTAGAATATTATTATGATGTGAAAGCTTTCAAACTGTAATTATCTTAAAGATAGAGTAAAGAAATCTTTCAAAATCTAAAACAATTGTTCATCTTTGTATCAAGAAATCTTCATAAATAAACAAAATGACTCTTTAAAAGAATCCAAGTTTTGAAGTTCTGAAAGACTTGGTGCCCCCCCCCCCCCAGCTAGCAGACTGCAGCATACGACCTTTCTTAAGATCTCGACAACTGTTGATAAGCTAGGCCATGACTCCGGCCTCAGCCTCAAAGACCCTTAAAGAAGTATTTGGGGGCTAAAGAGTCAACGGCGGCCTATTACTTAATAAAAAACACGACGAATGACACATTAAGTAAACAACACTAGTGATCTCAGCCATAAAGCCCCTGCACAATGACACGCTAAGTATGATGCTGGTCTTAGCCACAATCGACTTCCTTCGTTTTCGCAAAGCCAAAGAGTTTCAAGACTTTGGTAGCTGCTATCGAATGGCTCGTGGTATCGACAATGGCCTAAAGAACTCTAATACAAAACGTCCTTACAAAAGACAAAGTAAATAACCATTTTGAAATAAAGAATTACTTTATTAATGGATAGCAAGTTTCTTTACAAAGATGCCTCTTTGGGGGGAGGCATCAGTCCCTTGTACAAAACAAAGAAGAAGAAGAGAAAGAAGAAAAAAGAAGAAAGTGAGAACATCTTTGGGCAAGAAACTTAAGTTGCATTTACTCAAGTGTTCTTACAAAAAAAAGGCCTCTTATGGGGGGAGGCATTAACTCCCTACAAAAAAAAGAAGAAAAAAATACAAGTTTTAGGGGCACACAAGTCCAAACAAAAGAAAACAAGAAAAGTTTATTGGCCCCCTCCAGTATGAGCGGCGACCTAGGCATCTGTCACGATATGAAAACAAACCGCGTTGAGAAAAGCTTCAAATAAAATGGTAAAAATCGAATTATCATAAAGAAGAATTATTCACTAAATAATTAAGAGAAAATCAACATCAAAAAACTCCCTTTGCCTTCCCCTAGTCACTCTTTATATAGGCTTACACCCTTATAGCTCTTACAAGAAAGTTTCCTAATCTATTAAAACACTCCATAATAGAATCCTACAAAAACTCTTCCAAAAGAAAGTCTTAATTCAACAAAAAATCGAAAATCATGATCTAATGCTAAATTGATAATTTTGAACTAGAATATAAGTCTTGCGCTGACACTAGCTTGGTAAATTGGAATTAAGATAGAAATTATGTGCTGGTGCTAACTTGGTAAAATTGAACTAAAATAGAAGTTCTTCACTGATGCTAACTTGGTAAGTTCAAACTAAGCTATAAATTTTGCACTGGCACTAACTTGGTAAATTTGAACTAAGATAGAAGTTTCATGTTGGCACTAACGCAATAATTTATTACTCGGTTGGATTAGTAACGTCATCCAAGCTTCTTATGTGTCTTGGAGTGGTCTCAACTTGCATATAATTTATTGGCCTTCTCCTGTACTTCATCATCCTCCCCAAGTTGGAGAGAATCCGTCCTTGGATTCAAATCATCATCCTATTGATCGCCAACATATGGTACCAAGTGTTTGACATTAAAGACATCATGGGTACATATATGGTCCAACCTTAGTGCCACATTTCCATGTTGCCCATGGGTACCCATGACATTAAAGACATCATGGGTACACCATGGGTACCAAGTGTTTGACATTCAACTATCTCGCATGGTCCAACATTAGTGCCACCTTTCCATGTTGCCCAACCGGTAGGCAGTCCTCTGTTAAAATGGCCCAAACATAGTCTCCCGCATCAAATACTACTTTCCTCCTTTTTCCATCAACATGTTGTTTGTACTTAGCATTAGTTACCGTCCCCTTAGAAACTTGGAATATGTGACAATGCTCCACAAACCTTGTGATGTCTCTTGTCATCTTGGGCCAAAAGTAACTTACTAAGATAAGATGTTTTGTCTCGCCCAAAATGTCCTTTATTGTGAAGCTCTTTACCAATTTTCAACCGCCATGAGCAATAAGGTATACATAGGCGAGTCCCCTTGAATATGAAGCCATCATATACCACAAAATTTATCCTCCTACCTGCTTGCACATCCTTCATTATACTAGCAAATTAAGGGTTAGTAAAAAATAATTCATAGAAAGTATCAAACCTCGGTACATGTGCTTGAAACCTGGATAACATGGCTTTCCTTCAGCTGAGAACAACATTGACTCCAACCTTAGAGGCATCACAATCAACCTCAAAGGGTTGCTTGAAGTTGGGAAGGGCTAACACGGGTGCAGCTATCAATCGTACCTTAATCTCAATGAAGGCCCTTTCTGCTTCAATAATGAACAAAAAATTGGTATTGGTCTTCATACAATTTGTGTATGGTGCCATAACAATGCTGAAGTTGCTAATGAATCGCTGATAAAAGTTTGCAACACCATGGAAACTCTGTGCTTCAACAAGTGTTTTGGGGATGGGCCACTCAATAATGGCACGAACTTTCTTAGGATCTACAGAAACTCCTTCCCTTGAAATGGTATACCCAAGGAATAAAACCCGATCTGTGGCAATGATACACTTCTTCGTAGTTGCATAAAGTTGATCCCTACGCAAAGTCTTAAGTACATCTCGAAGATGCAACAAATGCGAGTTCATATCAGTGTTATATATGAGAATATCATCAAAGTATACCACTACACACTGACCAATAAAAGACTTGAGAACCTAGTTCATAACCCTTATGTATGTGCTTGGTGCATTAGACAAACCAAATGTCATTACTAGCAATTCATATAAACCATCCCGTGTCTTGAATGCTATCTTCCACTCATCACTAAGACAATTTCTAGTTTGATGGTAGCTTGATTTCAAGTCCAACTTAGCGAACACCTTGGCCCTAGAAATCTGATCCTACATGTCATCCAAGTGTGGAATTGGGAATCGGTATTTGATGGTTGTTTTATTAATTGTCTAATTGTCAATATCCTCCAAGCGCCATCCTTTTTTGTCATTAATAAAGCGGGAACCACACATGGGCTCATGTTGTCTCGTATGAACCCCTTAGCAATAAGTTCATCTACTTGCTTTTGTAACTCATCATGTTCAGTGGAATTCCTTTTATAATGGGCCTTATTAGGAGAATAGCGCCCAACATTAAATCTATGCAATGTTGGATATCCCTTAATGGTGGTAATCCTGTTAGTAAGTCCTCGGGAAACACATTATTAAATTCGTCAAGCAAAGGCCTCACCTCCTCTAGAACATCCACACCTTTCATCTCAAGCCCCTTGTCAATTAAAGCATATGCAACACCCGTCTCTTTTAAGGCACTTGTGAACTCAGTCATGGAAAAAAGGCTAGAATCCTCCCTGAATTTTGATTTAGGTATAGTCTCTTGTGATGAACATAAAGTCATTTTTCCCTTTAAACTCACAAGAGTAGGTGCTCTTTCACCCGTCATGGATTACGTAGCAATCAAATTGCCATTGGCGCCCAAGTAGCAAATGGCAAGCATCCATGCATACAACATCATACCGCACATAATCACTATAGTTATTGCTAATAGAAAAGCTCACTAGACACTGTTGTGTGATTAAAACCTCATTCTTTCCTTTTAGCTATGCAATCTTGTAGGGGTGAGGGTGTTGTTGAGTCTTTAGATTCATCTTGCAGAGTACTACTTCTACTAGAACATTCTTACAACTCTCACTATAAATTACAATGCTTGCTACCTTCCCACCAATAATACACGTGGTGTGAAAAATATTATTTCTTAGCCGATCCGATGATTCATCCCTAGGAGTTTGGAATGATCACTACATCACCAAGGCCTCGGCCTCTCCCACATCCCCATACACCATTTCTCCCTCTAAGGTTTCTTCATTATAAGAGTCAAACACATGTGTTGCTGAATAGTCAAATGCTTTCAATTGGGTTTCACTTTCATCTTCTACAAACATCGCCCATTTCTTTTATCACCCCTCGAATATTCAATAGATTTATGGCCTAGTTCACCACACTTAAAACACTTCAGTCCAAGTGAACCCACCTGGTTTTGATTACGTCCACATCCTTGGTTTTGGTTCAACCCATATGACTGCAACTAAGTAGTTGAATTTAGAGGTGAGTTAGGATTACTATGTGGGGGTGATCTGGCCACATTAGTTTGGGTTCGACCCAATTGGTTAGATCAACTGCTTTGTCTTTCTTTGGTTAGAGCATGTTGGTGTGCCATAGAAACAATATAGAGGTCAAATAGGTGTAATATATGGTGTAATATATTCTGAATATTTGGTCTCAACCCACCTATATACCTAGCCACCAATTGGTCTTCAATTTCAACTAACTCATTCCAAGCCACTAATAGATGAAACTTCTTTGTGTATTCATCTATTGTATAAGTTCCTTGCTTTAAATGTTGCAATTATTGATAAAGTAAACGAATATAATTATGGGGTAGAAATTATGACATCATCTATGCCTTGAGTTTCTCTCATGTCTTAATCTTTTCCTTACCTCTTTCCTATAACATAACCATCAATTAATGCCACCAAAGTAAACAAATATAATTATGGAGTAGAAATTCTGACCTCATCTTTGCCTTGAGTTTCTCCCATGTCTTAATTTTTTCCTTTCCTCTCTTTTGTCGCATAACCTTCAATTGATGCCACCATGCTGCTGCTCGTCCACTAAAACGAGTGGTTATTAAGGACACGGTCTTATTTTTCAGAACTTCCTTGAATTTAAGGGCTTCTTCTACCACGAAGAGCCAATCTATGAATTCTCGAGAGTCATGCCTCATTGGAATTCCGGGATCTTATCTTGAGATCTGCTTCCCACTGTCTCTAGTCACCACCTGCAACTATAGTCGATCTGGTTGATTGCATTGATGATGAAAAGGAACATGTGATACTTGCATCGGAGTTGTTGTCCCCTGTTTTCGAACGGGAACTCAATGATTTCACCTCCTAAGCAAGTGCCTCGACTCGTCTTCTCAGCTCCACCTTATCTTCTTGCATTTTGTTGTTGGGTTCCAACTCCATGGTACAAGCTACTTGTTTCTTCTTAGGAGTCATAGTCCGAAAAAATATCAATTTGAGTTCTGAAACCAAATGGCACAATACAGAAACGAACCGCGTTGAGAAAAACTTCAAAGAAAGGAGTAGAAGTCGAATTATTAGGAAGAAAAATTCTTCATTGAATAATTTTGAGAAAAAAAAAATCTCTTACCTTTTCCCTAGCTACTCTTTATATAGGCTTACACCCTTATGGCTCCTACTAGAAAGTTTCATAATCTATGAAAACACTCCATAATACAAACCTATTAAAACTCTTCAAAAAGAAAGTCCTAATTGAACAAAAATTCAAAAATCATGATCTAATGCTAACTTGGTAATTTTGAACAAGAATAGAAGTCATGTGCTAACACTAGCTTGGTAAATTCGAACCAAAATAGAAGTTCTATGTTGGCGCTTACTTGTTAAATTCAAACTAAGACAAAAGTTTTATGCTGGTGCTAACTCGGTAATTGACTACTCAATTGGATAGTAACGTCATCCAAGCTTTTTATGTGTCTTGGAGTAGTCCCAACTTGCATAGAACTTATTGGCCTTCTCTTGTATTGCATCAGTAGTGGCATCGGCAATCTAGTTCTCACCGTCCCCAGTATGTCTACTATCTGTTGAACTTTAGTGGCGAACGGATCCAACTATCTAACATCGAAGCTTGGAAGGAACTTCATCACTTGAGCCTTTTAGTCAACGAAGCCCTCTAAGTAAGTCTGGGAGGCAAAAGTTGGTCAGGTCCATCTTGTGCTCCTCTAAGGTCTTATATTTTTTGACCGCCTTTGCGGCCGACTCCTCCAATTGCTACTCCATTGATGCCAAGATAGATTTTAGCTCCTTTACGAGTTCCTAGTTATTCACCACCTTAGCCTCGACCTTCTTGCGACAATCATGCTCGTCACGTACCCGACCCTCAGGCGCCTCCTAACAAGACTATGCCTTGGGCGCTTGCTGCTTTAGGCGCTCAATCTCCTCTTGCACCCGCCGAAGTTGCTGAATCAACACCTCAACCTTATCACAAAGGCCAACTGAGAAAAAGGCCATCTGCACATGAAAAAAGAAAATTGTCTGTCATACCGTCAAGAAGACCTTGGCAACACAATGGGCTCGAAGAAGTGTACGCATAACACAATAGCCTTCTCCAAAAGTCCCAGATCGAGTCCACCGAATGCTGCATCCAAGACTGATGAGTCCCCGGGAAGAACTATGCCAACCATTAGCTGTCGGTCGACATCAAGAACTAACAAGTAGGGGTGAACACAAGCCGAGCCTTTCACGAGCTATTCTAGCTCAACTCAGTTCGGTTTAAACCAAGCTTTGAGCCAAATTTGAGCATATAGGCTCATTTGTTAATTGAGTCATGCTCGAGCCCAGTGAAACTCGACTCCCGAGCCAAGTATTAAATAAATATTTTTTATTATATACATACATACATACATATAAATATATATAATATAATAAATAATTTTATTATATATAATAATATTTTTATTTTTCATGTATAATATTAAATAATATTTATAATTCTTAATTTTTTGTCTAAAAAACAAAAAATAATTTTATACATATAATTTTTATTTTTCAAAAAAACCCGGCTTATAGTCGAGGATGAGCCTAGACGAACTCGAACTTGCAAGCTAGGAACCAAGTCGAGCTCGAGCTCAAGTCTCTAGCTCAAATTCCTGCGAGCCAATCTCGAATAGCCAAGTATTCGGCTCAACTCGTCTCAAATCCACCCCTATTAACAAGGAGTCCCCCTCTCGGACACTCCACGTCAATTGAAATATCCAACGAATGGTGAGCAACTCGTTCTACAAGGAATCAAATGATCAAGGCTCTACCTGATGTGACCTGTCCGAGGTCCCCTCAGGCTAGCACTGCTCACGCAACTGAAATCTTTCGGCTTGAGGGTCTTGGATCATTTTTGTAGGGTGCTTCTGCACCTATGTCTTCTTACAGGCCATTGTCTCGCGGCCCCTCCTTCGGTGGATGCTGAGGCGTGCTCCTACCAGCTTCCTTCCCAACGACTCTCTGAGACACTGCCTACAGCAACTTTGCCTTCTTGTTGCCCTCCATTTCTACGAACAAAAGAAGCAAACGGGGCAGAAGAACGCCTACAAAACTCAAACAATTTCATAATTGACAGACAACAGGAGTATCCATACCCAGGGAGCAAGACTAAGGCCGGCCATCACCAAGGCCTCCTCCTTCACCAAGGTTCCAATGTGAATTGTCCCGCCCAAATGAAGCCAAGTCAACACGGCCTTCTCTTTATCTCTACTGCGTGGCTTAATCTTCTCGGTCAACGTATTTGGCCTCCCCAAACCGAACTAAAAGGAATAGCCTTGGGGGGAACTAACAAAGTAGAATTTCTTCTTCGAGTTGTAGACAAGTCATATAGTTGTAGACAAACACTGAAATATGTTTAGCGTCACTAACACGTCTCGGAGATGGGCCATCACCAATATGGCCACTATCGTCCTAATGGCATTGGGAGTGAACTAGCTAAGGGTGAGGTTATAATGGTTTAGGATCTCAAGAATGAGAGGGTGCAAGGGAAACCAAAAGTGTAGGTAGTGCTCGTGGATGCACACCTTCCCTTCAAGAGGAAGGCACGGCCTATCACCCACATAGGGGACTCTAACCCTATAATCCCCCATAATGTAGTACCACTTGGCCAATGCACTAATTTGCCCCTTGCCGAGAGTGTTGTCTAAGTCAAAGTGAGGATAATGCCCCAACGTCACGTCTCGGCGCTCAACCTCGGCTTGCTCCTTGGTCGTGGGTTCCTCAGCCACTTCTACATCCACCACATCAGGGTGCCCAAGAGCATTCCCTAGGGCATCGACCCTCAGCTGCATGGAACCGGTACTCTCTTCGGTAGCGCCCGTGCTCGGCCCTGCGAGACACGAACCTCTTCCTTAACACTTGGACGCTAGACGTCCGAGAGGAGCTCTTAGAGTCACTACTATCACTCCCATCACTACTAGGAGTGCTACTAAGAGTATGCCAATCATGAAGATTATAAGCCTCGCAACCAAAATCCAAGGCCAACATGTTGAGGACAGGAATTCTTTACCTATAGATGTTTGTTAAAGAAGGTTTAAGGGATTGGTTGTTAACAACCGAGGTGCCCTCAATAGCTCCCATGCAAAAGGTTTCGAGTAAATGGGGGAGGGTCCCTTAACCAGCCTCCCTATTTAAAGAAAATGTATGTCTCATATCCAATTGATCCAACAGCCTTGGACCTACTGACCTAATAGCCCGAACCGATGGACTCCACATGGCACCGACATTGGGAGACGAAATGACGCCAAGAGAAGGGGCTAGTTTTCCCATCAACTCTGTCTCAAGGATACATTGAATCGGACCCCCCTACACCATCTCATGCACGACT